GGTATGGCCTCCCTCCAGCTGCACCCCCGGGGCCGCGGGATTGGCTGCGGGTGATGTCATTTCCATGTGGTAATCCCGGGCCAGGGCCCGGGGGACGGCGCTGGGCGCCCCCGCCCCCGGCCCTGCTCCTGCTTATCGCTCGCAGGTCCGGTGCAGGTACTGCCCCCACGGCACCGCCCTCCGCAGCAGTGCCGTGACACAGAAGGTGCGGCAGATGAGCTGCCGTGTCTGCACGTGCCCTCAACAGAAGGGCTGTTATTGATTTACTGAGGGCCGCTTGCTGCAGGCCCGAATTAAATGGAGGTTTCTGAGGGGTTATTGTCAGTGGTTATTTTTAAAACTACTTAATTTTTTCTACTTTCAGTGTATTACAGGTTTTTTTGCTCAGAAACCCCGTTTCTGCGCTGCAAAACGAAGGGGTTCTGGAGAAACGACCTGAGAGCACTGACTCTGGAAAATGCTTCTTCTGAAAGCTGGGCACTGGAGTAATTAGGCCCAGTGCCCTTCAGATGGCCGTATTTTGTTTTCAGTTAACACCCTCATTACATAGAAAGGGCTTTTCCTTCAGAACCACCTTCAGTTTATCTGCCCCGGTGGAAATACTCATGCTATTCACCACAGCTTACAGGGCTGGTTTCTCTGGACTGAGTTTCACAGCAAGGCTGGTGAAATGCCAGGAATTGCAGAGCGCTGTGTGGCTGTGTCAGTGCAGGTGGCGTCCTCTGCTCCGTGGTGAGGAACGAGATTTGCATCTGCCTGTTAGTTCAGGTTCAGCAGTGGTGACAGGTAAACAGAAAAGGCACCACTGACACTGTGAGAAATCCACGTGTCGTTACTGTTACATTAGCGTTCACGTACACTACTCAACACCCTGCCATCAGAACGTGCTTTCTTGTGGTGAGGAATGAAAACTGTGATTTGCCTTCTCTGCCGCTGAGTCTTAACTCAAGGGCGCACGAGAAGAAAGGATTTTGTGAAAGCTGCATGATCTCGGGGTGAAGTGACAATTCTCTGAGACAGGGGCAGAAGGGGAACTTTGCAAGGGGATTCCCAAGAGAAGAGGTGTTGAACCAGTGCAGTACAAAGTGCTGCAAAATAAACAACGGCAGGACAGGAAACAAAGAGCTCTAATCGATACCGCAAGAAGCATTAGTTAGTCAAATGTGAAAATTCCAAACTGCAGTTTAAATCAGGACAGCCAACTCTTTCTCACCCTGCACCAAACAATCCATGAATCTATAGGACCCGACAGCTGCTTGCAGCTTTGATTTGTGTAATTTCAGAGCTGGCACCTGCAGCCAGCCCTGGCCTCAGAACTGCAGCGCTGCTTCAGGCACCCAGCTGGAGGGAAACACCTGCATTTGCACTATTGCTCATCCCCCCCCAAACTACCACTGGTAGCTAACTAATAAACAGCTAACTAATTATAAACAGCACAATTGGGCAAGGGGTCAGGAGACTGAACTGCTGCTGGGGTAAGCACGGGGAAGCCACGTTTGCGGGGGGCACAGAACAGAAGTACACTGTGTTTTGGCTCCACAACATGCTTATTTGTACACATGTAACTATCTCCAGGGCAGGTACCTAGAGGAGGACTCTTCGGTGGTGCCCAGTGACAGGATGAGGAGCAATGGCCATAACTTAAAACTCAAGAAGTTTCACCCCAACATGAAGAACGCTGAGGGTGGCAGAGCAGTGGAGCAGGCTGCCCAGGGTGGAGTCTCCTTCTCTAGAGACATTCCAAACCCAGCTGTGTCACCTGCTCCAGGTGACCCTGCCTTGGCAGGGGGGGTTGGACTGGACGATCCCCAGAGGCCCCTTCCCACCCTGAGGATTCCGTGATTTTGAGATGTTACCTCAGGCCGCACCGTGCCTGACCGCGAAGGAGGGCAGGAGAGCGCCCAACCCTCCCGCCACTCCGCCTCAGCCCATCTCAGCCTCGCACAGCAGCGGCGCGGGGCTGGAGGCGCTAAGCCTCGTCGGGACGGTAGCGGCTCCGTGAAAAGGACCCCTTTTGAACGAAAAGGGGAGGAGGAGACGGCCAAGGGCGGCGCCGGCGGGGCGGGACCGGGACACCGCCCTGAGGGGAGCCGTGAGGGAGCCCGCGCCCGGCCCTGAGGGGAGCGCGTGCCGGCGGCCGCTCTCGCGATACCGCGGGCGGGGCGGGTGCGGCTGTTCTCGCGAGAACCGGGCGCGCGGAAGCGGCGGGACCGGAGAGTGTGAGGGCCGTGAGGGGCGGCCGCGGAGATGCCGAGCGCCGCCAGCCGCGGGCAGGGCCACGACCGCCGCCCGGAGAACGAGGACTCGTCGGCGGCTGATGTGGGTGTCCGCACGGAGCGGGTCGGGCGCGGTGTGGAGGCTCCCCGGGGTGGGGTTTGGCCGGGCCCGGGGGCGCGGCTGCCTTTGGCTTTACCCTGCCTGTCCCCCCCCCCACACACACCTTCACCGGGCCCGGGCTGTGATTCCCTAAACAGCTCAGCCCCTCCAGAAACACCTGGGCTGCTGCGGGTGCTTCTGCCTCGTACGTGAAGATCACACAGCAGTAATGAAGCATTGTAGGCCAGTGTTTCTTCAAGGGAAAAAAAAAAAAGTACTAATAATGAACATCAGTTCGTTTTGTAATGAAATCTGTTTTGCTTGTTGTTGGAAGGCCAAGAATACATCAAGAGTAAGGAATTCTGAATGTTGGCGGCTTCCATGAAATTGTGAATGTGCCACAATTTATCAAAAGCAGAGGAGCTAAGTGTCCCCCCCCCCCCCCCC